GCCCAGGCATTGTAGGGAGGTCATACAGGCACATGGAGGCCACACACACTACTGAGCCTTAAGGACATTACATCAAAGTTGGATCAGCCTGTAGTGTTTTTTTCCACTTTAATTTTGAGTGTAACTCCAAATCCAGACCTCCATGGGTTGCTAAATTTGATTTCCATTGATAATTTTTGTGTGATTTTATTGTCAGCACACTCAACTATGTAATGAACAAAGTATTTAATGAGAATATTTCATTCATTCAGATCTAGGATGTCTTATTTTTGTGTTCCCTTTATTTTTTTTTTTTGAGCAGTGCATATATATATAAAAGCTACAGCTTTTAAAATTGTAGCACAACTTTAATTTTCGTAAGTTTTTGCGGGTATCTATATGTATGGTATTCAGCTTTGTTCGGGTATTTTCCCACACCATTACAGTTGTGCTTTTAAGTTGTAGCGACATTTCGGCAGAATCTCATCTGTCATCATCAGGCTTCTGCATGCCTGACTCACAGACGAACACAATACAGAAGCCTGATGATGGCAGATGAGATTCTGCCGAAACGTCGCTACAACTTTAAAAGCACAACTATAATGACATGGGAGAATACCCGAACAAAGCTGAATACCATACATATACAGTTAGATATGCATATAGATATACATATAGATAGATATATATGACAACTTGTTTATGGTTATTACTCTAATTAGAGAAACATTTTTCCATGGTCTGCAAGCTCCCAGAGGCTTTAACCCATTTTTGCAGTAAACTGAAAATGAACGAGATTCTATAAAAGCAGTCTTGTGTTGTTCAGATATGCTCTATTACAAGTTAGCATTTAAGACCATATTGGCGTTTCTTAATATTTCATTTAAACAAGATGAAAGAACAGCGTGGTCCTAGCACAGAGGTGTCAAACTCAATTTCATTGGGGGCCACATCAGGGTTGTGGTTGTCCTTGGGGCACTGGACGGCCATGGCCGACTGGGAGGGAATGGCTGACTGGGAGGACATGACCAGCTTGACACCACTCCCCAAACAGCTGCCATGTTTCTTCTTCACACTGGGTATCCTGGGGCAAAGCTATGCTGGCCTGATCTTTCCTGTTCACACTGGATAGATAAGGATGGCCCCATGGGCCAGATCTGACCACATCATGGGCTGTATGCAGCCCACAGGCCTTGTGTTTGACACCCCTGTCCTAGAAGGTGGGAGAAGTTAGTCTGTGAAGGTTTGTACCTTAACCCCAGCATCTTTTTGTTCCAAAGGACGATTCAGGAGTACATTTTGAAGAGATTTATTTGTTCTAGGAGGCTGGGATAAAACCTAAGTTATCATCCATGATGCTTTGTAATACCTGAATGGTTTTCTATTATGCAAGTTTTCATTTGTACCCTTCATTCCATTGTACCTTTTAAGTCTGGTTGTAATTTTTGTTATGTGGTACATCGACTCCTTATTTAGTGGCCGAATTCTTTGTTTACAGTATTTTTTCCATATTTTTTTTTACAAAACACATAAAATATAACAGACTGCAAAAGCAATAAACAGAAAAGGAAAATGTAGAGAAATTCTCTTTAATTATATTTACAAAATTCTCTCTCACTCCAGTTACAACAAAATCCCTAATTTTTTATCATCCTTTTCCCCCCCTAATGATCAAAACCACAAATGATGAGCGCAGGTTTTCTATTTCATGTAAAGGGATTTTCAGTTGAGCCTAAAAGCTTAGGCGTCATTTCTTCTTTAATCAAATTTAGCTATATTTGCAAGTTTCATCTCCACCAACCATTCCTCTGTTGTAGGTATTGTTGAGCCATTCCATTTTTTTGAACATGTAAATAGCTTTGTTGCACTTTCCACATATGAAAACAAAGTTCTGTGACTGTGTGTGTGTGTGTGTGTGTGAGAGAGAGAGAGAGAGAGAGAGAGATCAGATACCATTTAATTCAAAGGAGAATCTGAGTTGCAGCAAGCAATTCTCACTGTGAAGCCAGTCTAAAAGTCTTAATTTTCCAGGCAATTGTATTAAAAACAGTTGCAGGTAAATATACTGTAGTAGATTAGTTTCATACTAATTAGTCCATACAGTATATGAAAAAAAAAATCTAGCTGTCAAGTATATCATTATTGTTAAATATTAAAGCTTTTGGAGTGAAAGCCTTTCTCAAACACACTAAAGGAGCTACAACTTCCAGAAGGACTGGCTCAGCTGTTTTTAAAAATTTTCTTCACTGTGTGTACATGCACAAATGCACAAACCACTCTCTCTACTGGACCCTCGGTGGACTGTGAAGAGGTTTCGCTAGTGCACAGCGTAGGTATATGTGTACAGATAACAGGAAACATCTTCAAAGCAGCTGAGCTGACCTTCCAGAGAGAACAGCTGCTTTAATACTTCGAGGAGGAGGAACTTTACTCGCACCATTGGGCTTTATGAAGTTCCAGTTGAATGCTTTGCAATCCTAGTTATTATTTTCTAAGTGATATTGCATTCAATAAGTACAGATCAACATTCACTTTCTACAGTATAAACAGGCACTTCTCTTGGTCAGTTCCAATGGCTTGCTTAGCTTTGTTCCACGACTAGAATATCAATTGGGATGTAACTAAAACTGTGAATGTTTAATTGACTTTACACTTTCTCCCTAAATAGCTTTCCCATGTGAGTCTCTTATTATCTTGTGAGTTTGTTTCCTATTACTGTATTGTAAGTACCCACCATCTCAGTGAAGTGATAATGTTTGTTCGAGAAGCTAAATGAACAAAATAAACTACTATAGACCTAATCCTGATCTGATTGACATGGCATTCCTGAACTAATGCACAGATTATATTTTACATCTATGGGAATTTTCAGGTTTGTTTCTAACTAACCTGACATTTTAAAATTATTATAATGCATGTGAAATAACCAAAAGGCCAAACCAAGAGGAATGGGGCAGTACTGCCCTATTTTAATAGCTAGATCTCTGTAAAACCTGATCAATTTTGAATAATCATACAGAGGAGAACAGTTTCAGTTCTTGAAGAACTATGAAAACAAGTATTTGAATGAATAAACTGTATTAAATCATTTTAAACCAATGAACCATTTTCTAAAAATATTATATACAATGTTTAAAGAAAATTTAAAGATTTTCAAATTGAAATAAGGATGAATAAAACTTCACTATGATGTATGATCGGGGAAAGAAACATCCAAAATTTATTTATAGTACATCGTGTATTATACAAAATAATTCAGGTTTAATAATATTTTTTCTTCATGAACTAAAAAACTAAATAGGTCAGGACACTTACTACATGCTGATTTTTGACTGTAAAATCAAGACTTCTGTACTAAGTATAAGACAAGGACTTCTCAGAATGGAATTATTTTGGAAGCTTTGATAGGAAGTGGCAGGGTTTTTTTTTTTCACTTTCATAATTTAAATAGCACAAAGTATACCATTGATTGAGAGGTCCCATGACAACATACAGTTTCTTAGAGGAATTGTAATACTCTATTAAATGGTTTTAGTGAAAGCTATGATCTTTTGGTCACTTCTACTTTGCCATTAGTAAAGTGTAATCTTCTAATTATTTTTTTCATCATGCTATTTCTGGTAACTCCTAATTAACACTAGAAAATAATGAAATCTTAATGAATTTCTAATATTACCAAGACTTTATCTGAAGACAGATATGAATATTCCCAGAAAAGTTAAAACTTTGCCCTAAACGAAGGTTTTATTGAATAAAGGAATTTATGCCAAGTTCTGTAAGAAAAGCTTTGAAGACCCTTAACACAGTAAACCAGTCAGCTGACTGGAAGGTTTTTTTCCTTGGGTTAAACAATGAAAGGCTTACATTTTGAAATTTAGCTGTAAGGCAGGGGTCAAACTCACATCACGTGACGTATTGGGACTCCCCCCCCCCTGCTAAACCGGGTATGGGCGTCGCCAGTGCGTGATGCATCTGGGCCATGGGACGGGAGTTTGACAGCCCTACTTTAGAGGTATAGATATTATTCTAGATTAACTTTCTAATTAATATTTTTGTTTCTTGTTGCTAAAATGATAGAAAAACATACTCTCTGCTGTCAAAGCTTTGAGCTTAGTCTTGATGCCTTTAATAATTTTACTTTTGGAGTTTAATATACTGTTTAAATAGACTTGCGTTCCTCATCATAGTAGCCTAAACACTTGCAACAGAGGCTGGATTCCTGTAAAACAACCTCTAGCTTTTTATAGTCATGTGCAGTGTTACTTTTTCGTTAGACAAATAAGGTTGAAAGCAACAGTACATTCTCCTAGAGAAAAAAATACCAAGCTCATTAGAATCCCAGGAGCTACTGTTCTCATGAAGTAATTGACCACGTTACTATAGATGGTTAAGTATCGTAAAGTGAAATCAGAGAATGCTTTGTGCTAAGGCTAAATACAGTATCAGATAAACCTCATTGGAAAAGATAGAATTGCAGTTCCTATTGATGGTCTCTGGCTTGGAAAGAACATCAGGCAATCTTTGCACACAACTTTGTCAGCTATTGTTTTCTGCCTGCTGATGAAAGAAAAAAAAAAGAAAAATACCAAATACAGGCAGTCCTTGACCCAGAATTTATGTTGCTAAGTGAGAAATTTGCTAAGCTCCATTTTACAACTTTTCTTGCCACATTTGTTAAGTGAATGCAGTTGCTAAATTAGTGGCAGTTTTTAAGTGAATCTGGCTTCTCCATCTTGGTAGAGGACCGCAAAATGAACCCAGGACACCTCAGTGGTCATAACTATAAGTCAGTTGTCAAGCATCTGAATGTAAATCACGTAACCATGGGGATGCTCCCAAAGGTCCTAAGTGTGAAAAATGGTCAAAACTTATTTTTTCAATGCTGTTGTAATTTCGAACAGTCACTAAATGAACTGTTGTAAATCAAGGACTCCCTGTAATTTGTTACAGGTAAAGATATATGGTCATTTTGCTGTGATGGTATTAAGCTCAGAGATGGTATAAAAACAAAACATTGAAAATATAATTCCACAGATATGTTTATTGATGTGTACATCTGATCAAGTTAATGAATAGGCTTTTTTGCAACAACTGAACTGATAGACAAATGACAATAGAAGCAGTTACGTGTTTAGCAAAGGTGAAAAGTTTTAAAACAGAGCAATACAATAAAATGAGAACTGATACCAAGATCATTAGGATATAAATGGATTGAAACAAAACTAACTTCACAAAAAATGCAGAATAACCAAATCCAACTTTCTTCATCTTGCTTTTTGAAAATCACTCCAAAACTCTTGGTTATCAGGATATGAAGACCAAATCATCTTTAATTTTTAACTTAGCTCTTGTACCAGAGGGACATTGGTCTATTTACAAAGAATGATGTACTAATTAATTACAATATGCAACAGCTTGCATAAATAGGTTTTCATAAATCCTGTCTTATAAAATAAGTGGCTTATTAGCTATGGAAAGTATTCATAAACTATCCATTCAACTCTCCCCCTCTCCTCCTGTGTCCTATTTTCCATTTTTAATAGCAGCAGCAAACTCAAATCTTATTCAATCTGGCAGAGGCTGAAATTTCAGTTCTCCAAATTCTCAGTTACGGGAAGGCTATGCATTTACTGAATGCAGAGCAAAATAACTTTTCAAATTCTGGACATTTGCCACTAAATCAAAGTCACCTTATTCTACAAATTGTAATTTGCCCTGTGAAATGCTGATTGGTAACCATATTTCTCCTACAATACATAAATGTGGTATTTATATATGAATGAATCATAATTATTAATGAATGAAAAAAATCTAAAGAAGTTAAGGAATAGAGAATAAACCTCATATGTATGGGCTAGATAGGAATAGAGAATAAACCTCGTATGTATGGGCTAGATACAGACTTAGAACAGATCCATAAAAAAACAACAGAATCTAAATTAAATATGGTTAATTTAAATTCCTTTGGTTATAATAGACTATTTTGGCTAACTCTGATCCAGTCTATTTATTCCATGCTTGTAAAATGAAAATGCTGGAATACTTACAACACTGGAATGAATACTATTGAATAATTTTACTTGATTGAATACTTTTACTTTGTGATGTCATCGCATGACACAACTTACACAAAATTCAATATAATCCTCCTCTCTTTAGTAAATACTTGGGAACTCTAAATTGGTTCCAATATGGAAATATTATTATGCAAAATTATCATAGTTCAGCTATCACTGATCCATAGTACACATCAAAACCATCCACTAGGAGTCCCGTGGCCATTCTGAAAACATATTATGGAGGGCAACTTGACTACAAGAGGGCTTCAAGTTGTAAATGTTAATGTATTCAAATTATGCTTTTCTTTGTTTAATGCTTCAGTAAGGTTAGAATTTCCAAAAAAATAGTAGCAGCCAATGTCTCTCTGGATTCCCAAGATCAACAGCTGTAAATGGCAGGTGTAGCAATGTGACCCAAACTCCATTCCATTTATGTGAAGTGTCAATGTCACACAAAAGTGGGAAGCATGAACCATGACACTAAGTTCATATCTTGCAAATTTTGACCTTTCTCCTACCCTCATAAAGATCCTTGACACAGCCTTCATGGAACACTTACAGTTTATTTAAATGTTTTGCTCATTTGGGAACCTATCCACTTATTCTTTTAAATCTTTGTATTAAAGAACATATTATGCTATCAGTTGTCTTTATTTTTGTCTCTTCTCCCTACTGTTATCGAAAGAGGAGCTGAGATATACAGGATGAAAAATTAGTTCATAAATGTACTTATACATACACAAATGCACATAGAGGAAGCAAACAAGCATTTCAACATAATTCAGTATGTATTTTACATACACATGATTAAAGCAGCTGATGACCAAACCATAAAAGAAAATAAAAACCTTCAGTACTTACTATAGCAATAGTACTTAGACTTATATACCGCTTCATAGTGCTTTACAGCCCTCTGTAAGCAGTTTACAGAGTCAGCCTATTGCCCCCAACAATCTGGGTCCTCATTTAACCCATCTCGGAAGGATGGAAGGCTGAGTCAACCTTGAACCTGGTGAGACTCGAACTGCTAAACTTCTGGCAGAAGAATTAGACTGTAGTACTACATTCTAACCACTGCGCCACCACAGCTTATTATCTAAGAAAGCTGGAATTAAAATCCCCTACCTTTTTTCTGTATGTTACAACAACAAAATAAGTGCTATGTGCACACAATGTAAATGATTAGTAAGGACTTAATTTATGTAAATCTGATCTTACTTCAATCCTATCTATGTGTACTACTTGGACTTCTTTTACTATCTGATATTATTTCAAGATAATGTGCATATGCTTCCTGAACACTTACAGAACTTTTCATCTCAGTGATTATTTCAATACTTGATAAGTAAAGTTTATTTTACTTTTTTCTGCATTATTTCTGAAATTAAATAAAAGTAAAGGGAAAAGGCAAATGTATGCCCTGTGGGAATTAAAGGGATTATGTGGACACATAACTATTTCAAATTTTCTCAAAAAACATTAGTGCTCTCTTTTGTGCCAGGAGTCGTATTTGCTAGCTTTAGTTTAGAAAATCTAAATATCTAGTAGTTCATTGAGCAGAATACAAGCATAAGAATTCTGCCTTCAAAAGGGATTTGGAAACCCCAATAAGCAAAATTGGACCCACAAAGATGTCGGAAGTCAGAAGAGACCTAATAAAGATTACTCTTCTCAGTTCACTGACAAATGTTTCTTTGATAAAGAGCTGGATTCTACCTGAACTGATCAATTAACCAAAATGTTTGTCCCTACCTGGAAAGCAGCTACAAACCGAATTCTAAATTTGCTAGGTATCAGGGTCCACCCTCTTTACTTTCTGCAGTATCCAAGAAGCTGTTATCGCTTATGGCATTTAAATAATAATGCAAAATTTGCTACAAAGTATTGGATTAAGGCAGAGTATTACTTGATTATAAAAACCAATCAGCAACGTTCCACTTTTTTTTAGATTTACTCTCATTAACAACAAACATCTAGCTTCAATCTTTTATTATATACTTTAATTCATTTCCAACCTTGTGCCCATGAAATAAATTCTGGATTGAAAATTTCAGCTTCACAACTGAAACACAACCAAAAGCTCTCAGAGCAAAGCTAATTAGTTATCCCTCTTTCTATTTCATGTGAAGTCATAAACCCTACTTCTTCCCACGTCTTTGCTTCTACAAATTTAAAGTTTATATAAATACATCTTGAAAACCAATACCCAGCCATGTTCTTTTCTCCCATTTGTTGGAATAACCTTTAATGTTTCAGATGTTCACAGAGTGAGCATGTTTCTTGCATAGAGGCTTATCCTTCTTGGAGAAGAATGTCTGGCCCTCCAAACTCTCACAGCAAACCTGAAATAGCATAAAATTAATTAAAGGCCAGTGTTCTAAAACTTTATACACATACATAAAATACAGGTCATCTCAGTACTCAATGCCTTATTGAACTAACTAGATTTCTTTGCTTTTTGTCATTGTGAATTATTACATAAAAATGGGATCTGCAAGAAAAGTGATGCAAAATGTTCTTGTTCAGATCTTGATATTGACATCCAAGTTTTGTAATCTAGCATCTTCTCAAGTTTTCTTCTTCTTTTGTCTGGCTTAGAATCAACCACGTTCCATGGCCACTAACAATTTTTCATTCTCTATCAGGAATTCAGAATTTTGCTCCACATTTAAAGAATTTTTTCTAAGTATATTGTTGACTTCTGTGGGGGCAGTGGTCTAGTGTGAAAACACTCAGCTCTCACTCAAAAGGTTGAGAGTTCAATCTGAGGTAGTGGCAGATATTGCTCTTCTAGGGCAGTGGCCCTCAAACTTTTAGGCACCAGGAATTGGTCCCAAGGAAAGAGGTTTTTCTATGGACCAGAAGGAGCGTGGTTTCATGTGCTGCCGTCATCCCGCCAATGGGTCTGTGCTTGTTTGTGTAGCTCTGTTTCTGGCATGCTATGGACCACTGTGGGTCCAGCATCTGGCAGTTGGGGCAAAAAGAAAATATATCTGCTGCAAACTACACATGGTGTCAGAAAGGGCATCTGGCCAGTAAACTTTCAGCTCCATCCAGTTGCCACAGCTATATCCCAAATTAAGGGATTACAGGGTCATAAAAAAGGAGAGTTTATTATTGATGTTTGCATAGTTTTCCCCATCTTTATACTACTTTTCCTGATTGTTGCTATTAAATGTTTCTAAACTGTATTTTACAATTGCAGTCATGCCAAAGTGATACATGGTAAAACAGAAATCTAACAAAATTGTATAATAAACATCAAATAATAAGACCGCAATGGAACACTAGGTGTTACATTATATTTTTTTAGTCTTTGAAAGTCAACACTAGCACCATGAATAGGCCTGGAAATAAGATAATAATTGTTTCTAATGTTGAACATAATATAGGAATAACCAATGCTAAATACTAAGCTTTCATTAGCATCTGAAATTTTAAACCCTTTTGTAATAATAGTCCAACATCTAACACATTACATGTTGCCTGGACAAGAACAAAGTGTGAGTAATTGAGTAGCAACAATTATAATCCCTGATGAACTAAACAATGGAGTTCTGTTTAAATGACTATTGCTTGCACATTTGAACTTCTTCATGTTCTTGTTAACAAGAAGCTGCAGTCACATTCATGATCTGCTTGTGGGCTTTTCATTAGAATCTGTGGAGAACAGAATGCTGGACTAGATGCTGGATATTTTGCTCTGCCAGCTTGGCTTATTCTTATCTTTCCACTCTTCTCCACCTCCTGCACATTCATAATACGGTTTTTATACTTACTGAGCACACAAAACAGGTATCGTGCCAAGTATGGCCCAAGGCTTCCAGAAATCTGTCCCCAGCTTCAATAGGGAACTCACATCCATGGCACATGGAACCAAATAATGCATAATAATCTGTAGAATACATAACGTGGACACTTAAAAGAATAACAGCAATTTCAGCAAATCTACAAGAGAATAAATGCTGTATGCCTACAACAGTGGACAAAATTTTTGTACACTTTTTCTCTTTGAAGTTTAACAAGCTACTATTCCTTGTAGGAGGATTAAATATTTTGCTATTTGGCAATCTGATTAAGGGTATAAAATTAAATTATCACCACCAGATGGCAGCAAAGAAAATATAGATAATTCTTTGCTGCTCTCCAATGTCTGTCCCGATTTGGTAAGATGCATAACAATCACAGCGAAGTAGCTATATGGGAATTATTAGGGTCACTGTGATTTTCCAAATAAACTTTTTGCATCAAACAATTTGATTCTGTAAAAGGACCAAGATGAAATACCATTCATATGGTAATAGATATAATAAAAGAATCACATGCAGGGCGGAATTTATCAAAGGCTTTCCTAAGCCATGTGACTATTTTGTACATTTTTTTTAGTATTCAGTACACATTGTATGCATGTATTCCAATAACTTATTTATTGCAGAGGTGAAGGGGCCAAATTAAAATTATGCACAATTTATTTAAGATAGATGGTGATTTATATAAACAATCAAGTACACCCATTTCTCCAGCTACCAACTCCATGCTTGAAGTTAAATGAGAAGTACTTTATCAACTCAAGGAGCTTGCCAAATTTGTATGCTATCTTTGATATGACACATTATTCAAATATGTTTATTTTAAATCTGACAAGCTCTTTCATCTCACAATATCATACTGAAAATGAATGTAGATCTGTTTAACTTGGCTCCTGCTTAGACTTTTAAGAGGTTTACAAGCTTTCTATGGAACAGTAGCCAGAACAGACTGAAGAGCTTCTGTTTTCTTTCCTTTTCAACCCTAGACACATAGTCTTAAGATTTTTCTCCTGTTACATTAACCATGGTAACAGCAGCCTAAAATAATCTGTGCAAGGAAAGTCCACGAAAGGCAGATCAGAGATGCATGATTTCCAAGTGTGGACATTGAATTTGTATCTTTGATTTTTCACCTGAAATTCCAGCTGAAGAGGGACCTTCCACGAAAACTCATGGGATGAATACTTCAATTATTTTTGTTATTGCTTTGTTACTTCCATTCAAGTTGTGAAAGCTGGGTTAAACCCAATGGAGGGATTCAGCCGGTTCGGACTGGTTCAAGCAAACCGATTGTTAAATACCTCCCTCCCGCAATCAAAGTGGATTTTGGGCACTGAACTGCAATGGAGAAACAGGCAACAATTTCCCTCTTTCTTCTCCCTGCTCCTTCTCCTTCCCTCATGCTGACCAGTCCAATGCCCATTTCTCCATTGCAGCACAGCAACAGGATCTACTTTGATAGC